CCCACATAAACTTTCAGTCATGCCCAACATTTTTCTAATTTACATTAGATCTCTATCTTTAAGCCCTTTTAAGCTACAAGCTTTTGAAATCTTGATGTCAAAATCCAGCATTTTTCCAAAAAAATCCTGGCGCCTAAAGGGTTAACGCCCGGTGCCAATCCTCCTAAAGGTAGAATTTTCCCGTTGTCACAACCAGAGTCCGAGGCCATGAAACGCTACATCGAGGAGGAATTAGCTAAAGGATTCATCCAACCCTCAACCTCTCCCGCGTCAGCCAGGTTCTTCTTCGTAAAGAAAAAGGATGGAGGTTTGCGGTCTTGCATCGATTACTGTGGCCTCAATGACATCACTGTTAAGTTCCGGTATCCATTACCCCTAGTCCCAGCCGCGCTCGAACAGCTTCACCGGGCCAAGTATTACACCAAGCTAGATCTACGCAGTGCCTACAACCTGATTCCTATCCGCGAGGGAGATGAGTGGAAGACAGCATTTTCGACCACTAGCGGGCACTATGAGTACTTGGTTATGCCCTTCGGCCTTGCCAACAGTCCATCAGTCTTCCAGTCATTCATGAACACATCTTCCGTGACATTGACGACATACTAATTTATTCAAAAACTCATTGAGGAAACCCTCCACCGGTATGACCCCTTTCCAATGCATCCTGGGCTTTCAACCTCCACTGTTTCACTGGTCTGGCGAACCCACCGAATTACCTTCAGTCACAGATTGGATGCAACACAGCGAGGAGGTCTGGGACCGGGCACATACTTGCCTACTTCATGCCGTAAGGCGTCAAGAACAACAAGCCAACCGACATCGACGTCCCAGTCCCGAGTACACCCCAGGCCAGTCCCAGGTATGTTGGTCCCTTCAAAATTTCTAGACAAATATCTCCAGTATAATTTCGTTTGGAATTGCCCTCTAATTACCGCATTTCTCCCACATTGCATGTATCACTCCTGAAACCCGCTGGTGGTCCGAGAGGAGAGACGGAGGAGGGAGCCGGATCACAGACCCCCCTGCCCTTCCTGGTTGATGGCGAGGAGGCGTATCGAGGGCACGAGTTGCTAGACTCCAGACGCCGGGGCGGTACCCTCCAGTATCTGGTCGATTGGGAGGGGTTCGGTCCGGAGGAGCGATCTTGGGTCAACACTGGAGATATCCTGGACCCCACACTCACTGAGGAGTTTCACAGAACGCATCCGGAAACCGGCCCCTCGACCCCGTGGGAGACCCCGGCATCGTGTGCTTCCTCGTGTCGGGAGCCGCTCGCAGGGGGAGGGCTCTGTTACAGAGGAGTCTCTCTTACCGCCTCCTCCGCACCACCAGAGGGAACCGTCTCCCGAATATTAGACATTCCCATTCGGACTCCAAATACCATCACCCCTCATGCCTGGGACTGATTAATCATCCACACCTGCACCTCATATACACACTCACATATAAACCACTCACACACACGGACTCTCTGCGAAGTCTTGATTTGCCCTGGCTGTCATTTCCGAGCGTTATACCCGTGTTTGATTTTCTGTGCATCTGCTATTGGACTGTTTCCCATTACTCTGATTGTTATCTGCCTGCCCCGACTTGGATTGTTTCCCCTGGACTCTGATTGCTTGCCGCCTGCCCCGATCTCTCGCCTGGTACTCGACTCTGTCTCAGACTAGTCTCTGCTGTTCTACCTTGCTGGTATTTGACCTTGTATTGTCTGACCATTCTAATAAAAGCTGCAAATGGATCCACACGCTTCTGACTCATCACAACATCTATAGTGGAAATACTGACAGAATTTATATTTGCGAACACATCATTGTCGTTTATGACTGCATTGTTGGCAATGACCATTTTGCATATTTCTTGTTCTTGCTGTTGGCTAAATACTGCTGCTCTGCCACCAGCATGAGGTCGATGTGCAGTCCTACGTACAGAATGTACAGATCAATTGTTACATATTTCACATTTGATTGTTATTTCTATTATGTATTCATGCATACTGTATATATGGTATGTTGTGCTTTTTAGATTTACCTTCACAATATTGTGTATTAAAAAAAAGCTGTAATAAAACTAAAGAATGAGTACATATTATCCTGTTTTCCCTACAAAATGTTTGCACAGTTGATTAAACTGTGGACCTGCTTACATTATAAGACCAAGATTGATGACATGGTCCACAAGTGTGGCTCTGATTTCATCAGGGACTCAAGGTGTTCTAATTCTACCTCTCCTTTCTTCCCCTAACACCACTACCTCACATTATACACTATTGCTCTTCCATGAGCTTGTTGCTGCTGTTCAAGATTGTGACAGCCCTCCATTCTCAAAAATGCTAGTGATTGTGCTGTGGGCAGTCTCCTGTCTGTATATGCTTCCAAAATTTGATTGGCTAATTGGTTGATTGCATTTAGTATTTTGTTGCAAAGACAGGCCATTGGCCAATATAGCTGACATTACAAATTCACAGGGAATATACATGCATGGTTTTGAGAAATTAATGGATCATTTAGCATGTGATGGCTCACACGAAGAAAGAATGTTTAAGTTTTGAAGAGATTGACAGTTTCACTAAGAATCAGCTAATCAGTTTTGATCGACAAGCCATATGCTTTTAGTTATTGTGCAAATTATTGAGAATTGTACTTACTCTTTTGCACACATGTGCCAAAACACATGCAATTTGCTTAAATCAATAAGAAATTCAAGTCTGATGTGAAAAAAGAGACTACTTGTTCAGGGATCTGAAATTATTGTTTTGATAAAAAAAAAGGTCTCAATCGAGAAATGAGCCAAAGCAATTGAGAAAAACAACTGTAAGTTCAGTTGTCACAACTGGAACATCACAACTGAATTTGTAGAACTGCATGTCTGTAAAATGTAGTAACTCACCCCAAAGTTGAGCTATCAGACATTTTCCGCCCCTGTGCAACCCATTTGCCAACTTAGCAGATGTTACATCCATTCCATGTCAGATATTTAATAGTTTGACAAATATTTGATAACTCATGGATCATTTTGCTTTTGCATGTGATGGCTTGGATTAAGTAAGAATGTTTAGAAGTTGTGAAGAGTTTGACAGATTCACTCAGAATCAACTTATCAGTTTTGAACAAAAAGCCATGTGCATTTAGTTATTGTGCAACAAATGTACTTACTTTTTTGCACACGTTCCAAAACATGCAGTTTGCTTAAATCAATAAGAAATGCAAATCTGATGTGAACAGGAAACTAATTGTTCAGACATCTGAACTTATTGTTTTGAGAGAGAGAGAGAGAAAAAACTCTCATTGGAGATTTGAGCCAAAGTGATTGAGAAAAACGGTAATGGTTGCCTCTGAGCCTTGGATGCACAATCTCAGCTTGTTGGTTGTGACCCTGGAATCAGTTCATTGTCTGATCTGATATTGTTCAAGGAAAGCAAGAAAAAAATATGTAAATAGGTAATATGGCTAGTGTTATAATCCTAGTGATTGGCCTGTAAATCACTTACAAAACAGTACAATTTTCCATTACTTTAAATAATTGTGCATATTGTTGGGTCTATGCTGTTCATTGTAATTTCAATAACTGTCAGTGTATTTATTCATTCATTCATTCATTCATTTAGCGCACAATAGATAATTTTGACACACAGTGTGGGGTCCTGCGAGAAAAGTTGCCAATTGCATGCTTTATTCCTTATCGAGAAGAAACCGTGTGCTCTTTTCCTCCTAAGGCTATCCAAAGACCAAAAAATAGTCAAAGGAAGCACAGGGGTACGAGTCAACCTGGAAAATCACTGCACTTTAACATCGCTCCACTCATGTTATTCGTGAATGGGCCACTGTTCTCATGGTGAATCATTTCTGTGCTTGATTACTTTCCTCTGACATCGCACAAGAAAACATACCGATAAAGCCTGTGCCTTTTTATATTCACCTATAGCAGAATTAAAATATCAACATGTTTACACGAGCTCGTTTGATAGTTTGCATCAATTTGAGTTGAAAACAAAATAGTTTTCATTTGTTGCTATCGCAGCAGGATGGTTAATCGATAGCAGAAAGCATCACTCATGTTATCCTGCCCTGAGAATATGGTGTGCAGTCGCTCTATCGCTTGAACTCTTGATTAATGACATTATTAAATTATCAATCAACCGCGATCCTCGGACTAGACAGAGCATTTAAACAGACAGCCGTGATATTGCACCATATTACAGTAGTCCGTTAGCATCTCTAGCTGCAGGTTGCAGTCATGACGCTAACGCTACACGGCTAACGTTGACTGACCTCAAGAGAAATTACTTTTTTAAGCGATAAACTGGATTCAGGCGAATGCTTTGCTGAACACAAACACGTTGGACTACTTAAACGGTCAGATATTGTTTAAACGTCGGACTTGTTTGGGGAAGAGTTTAGTCTGGTTAGCTTAGGGCAGGCGTTTGTGTTCCTTCACATACAGCAGCTGTTTATATAGAAACGTTCGTATTTCACCGGATTAGTCAGTAATAACGCAGTTATCCTGTATGTTTGGGTACTATAATATTGCAGTGTTGTATCAGTAAGTATCAGGGTGGAATCTCATGCAAGCTACATGAGTGTGCGACAGATAGATGAGTGAGATGCAGTGGTGGTGAGGAAGAGCTCAATGCCGTGTGTGCTGGAGGATGAGCTGGAAGATCACAGTCATTAACAGAAGAATGATGAAGATGCTGATCGCCCTCGCTCTCATTGCTTACATCGCCTGTGAGTATATGGCACTGACTGAAAGATTGGCATGAGATGAAACCTGCCTAGCTGTCCTATCTGTTGTACTGTACTTTGTTTCAGTTATAATGGAAAACTTGGTTGTAAGCAGTGTTGGGGGATAACGTGAGTTACGTAATCAGATTACTTTTTCAAGTAACTAGTAAAGTAAGGCATTACTTTTTCATTTACAAGAGAATATCTGAGTTACTTTTTCAAATAAGTAACGCAAGCTATTTTTTTTTTCCAATTTATTGATTGACAGCTCTCCTGTCCCCATGTTGAGAGAAATCAGATGTTACTGTAGTTCTAAAATATATATGAATATGCATTAATTCATCTCACTCACACAAAAAACTAAACAGATTCAATATTCCTCAAAAATGAATAAAAATAATGCAACTCAGAATATGACGCAAACCTGCAATAATTAAATGTTTAACAACACAAATATCCTTTATGTATTTAATCCCATTCTATTAACCAATGTCTTTGCTTCTGACCTTCGATGATCCAGTTCAACCGTACTAATAAGCAGAAATTACCAAACATTTGTGTGTCTTTTTTTTATTGCTGAATTGTGTTGAAATGTCTTCTTCTGCATTCTACTGTACGGATGTAAATTTACTTTCCCTTCAGCCTGAGGCTTATTCATTTCACTTTTGGTGTAGACTTTAGGCTTTTATAGTTGCCAAAAATATAATTTTTTTTTATTTTAAAAACAAACAAGCAAGCCCTGTCCAGATTTAAAAAGTAACGCAAGAGTAACGTAATGCATTACTTTCCATAAAATGTAACTAAGTAACATAATTAGTTACTTTTTTTTTATGCAGTAACGCAATATTGTAATGCATAACTTTTAAAAGTAACTTTCCCCAACACTGGTTGTAAGTAATGGGATTTAATAGCATGTCGTGGATTTTAATAATGGAAAGTTATGGGAATGTATTTAGCACACTTTCTCTCTCCTCCCTCAGAAAAGTACTGTCAATACCATAGTTCAGCTATGGTAGCAGACAGTGTTGGGGGTAATATATTACAAGTAACGCAAGTTACGTAATCAGATTACTTTTTTCAAGTAACTAGTAAAGTAACGCATTACTTTTTCATTTACAAGAGAATATCTGAGTTACTTTTTCAAATAAGTAACGCAAGCTACTTTTTTTTTTTTTCAATTTATTGATTGACATCTCTCCTGTCCCCATGTTGAGAGAAATCAGAAGATGTTACTGTAGTTCTAAAATAAATATGAATATGCATTAATTCATCTCACTCACAAAAAACACACAGATTCAATATTCCTCAAAAATAATAAAAATAATGCAACTCAGAATATGACACAAACGTGCAATAATTAAATGTTAAACAACACAAATATCTTGGCTCCTTGAGAGCTAAGAGAGTGTTGCTGTTAACCTATTTTTGGAACTGTAATGTGAAATGGTCAGCTTTGTGTTATGTGACAGTTCTAGGGCAAGAGCTTTTCACAACGCCAATATTAATGCTATAAATACATTTTCCAATTATTTCTATGACCTTTGTCTAGCAGAGACACAATTAGGTGTGTGCGATATCAAAATGTTTTTATCATGGATGATTAATATGTCTCCACAATCTGCTTTTGAAGAAATATTGTAGTATCTTGCTACAGTGCACATTCTATCAGTTGCAGTTCTGACGCCTCCATCTTCAATGCGACATACATTCACTTCAAATTTTAACTCAGCGGTAGAGTTCACTCACTGGACACTGCACTTCACAATCTCAAAAGTACATTATTTGCATGTGCTTTAAAGCCTTGCCAGTTAAATATTTCATTTCTGTGCTGTTTCTGAGTGTGTACACCTGAAGATCACACACTAAAAAGCCTGTCAAACAGCGCCTTGATTGCTGAACTAAATTATCTTTTGCATCCGATTGCACTAATACTGTCAAAAACTAGTGGTCGACCGATATATCGCCAAGGCCGATATTTGGCATTTTTCAAATATCGGCATTGGGCGATAAGTTTTACTGTTTGGCCGATGCGTTCAAGGCGGGACTTTTATTTTGACGGCGCAATTAGAAGTCTGTCTAATAATCAGATAGAATGGTTAAACAAAGGAATTAAAATGTATACAAAGTATTATAACAATTGCTTTTATATTAGTAATAGAAAGGCAAACATTATAATACTTTCTCATTTGCCGTCAGCATTCAGCAAATACGCATTTATATCATTTAAACAAATCTTTGAATGACTAATGAACATTTAATTTCACAAACCTTGCAAACTTAGTCGGATCCAGCTGTGAGATCTTGTGAAGTGTGCATTTGTATCTAGCATGATTGCATGTTCTCTGCGTGACGGTCGGTCCGTGTGAATTGAATGCGGACAGGAGGAGAGTTCTGCTTGACGGGAGACAAACTTCAAACTCGTGATTTTAAATTAGCTGCACTTTATGCATTTGCCCACTGTCATATTCATGTCATTTTCACTGTGTGCTGTATGTAAAATGAGTGTTACCTTGGCTTTATTTGGAAAAAATGTGATTCCCAATGCACACAAACTTCCCAGAATACTGAGTGCTGTTGGTTACAGTTTACTTCTGTTTTAATTATATTTTTATTAAATATTTATTTGTGAAAAATACTTTATCTGAAGTATAAGTATGTCTATTTTTTTATACATTTATTTTTTAAATCAATTTTCTAATTATTTCAAATTTCTTAAATATTAACTCAAATAAATAACATTTATATCGGCCACCCTGCTTTCCAAGATATCGGCATCGGCTGTCAAAAAACCAATAAAGAAACCTAACTTTTGAGGGGGAAAATTCCTTATCCAATAATCCAAAAGACTGAAAAGTCATGCAAAAATAATAGAAATTCATTGGTCGAAATATGTGGTAGCCGTACACAATGAGATTATGAAACCAGATGCGATTTTATAGTTCACTGTCAGGGCTGCCCTTCGGCCCTTCGGGCAGGTACTCTTCAGGTTTTGGTAGCCCGAAAATTAATTTAACAAATAAAAAAAGACCTTTTTAAAAAAAAAATATATATATATATTGAAAATCATATTTAAATGTCAATCAAAAATCTTTTTAATACACAAATATCAACTAATATGAAGGAAGGAATTTTATTTAACTATTTACAGGATATCTGCAGAATTTTTTTAAAATAAATGTAAGGCAATTTATGACCCATTTTAAGAGCTGCAAATGTAAAATGAACACAGTATGAGTGGGGTTGGACAATGTCTGTGGTAACATACAGTATTGAGCCATACAATTACATGATTTACAGTTCTGATACAGGTTTTCGCAAAAACAAAAATCTTTTTTTATGAAAAGGGATAAATCAAGCATATAAATTATTGTTAATTTATAACGTATAAATATTACTGTCTTAATTCTTTAGATTTTTAGAAGGCACATTAACTTTCTCATTAACAACTCTGTGTTTGCTACGTAAAAACGATATTCTTATACCATTTAACATATTTAAAACTTTTTTTTGGGCCTTAAGTTTGATACAACTCACTTTAGGAGTTAAGTACCCGTGGGAGATCTGTATTTAAGGTACCCCGTCGGGCAGAGTAATGATGCATTTTGGTAGCCCGACTGGAAAACACAATAGCCTCGGGATGTCGGGCTAGCGATTTTGCGAGCCCTGTAAAGATAATTACTAATAATTATTTAATAATAATAGAATATGTAGAAATTGTGCCTCATTTTATAAGAAGAGTTCAGAGTTCTGTAACTCCATTTGTAGGCTGTATTCTGCATTAAAAGCACCATGCACATTTCTCACTAGTCAATTTCCCTTGTAAGTCTCATTTACATTGTTACTGGAGAATCGGAGAGGGTTGCTGAGCGCAGGGAGCATTACCACCCCCCAGGTCATTCATTTCCAGTGGAGAGTAACGTTAGCACGGGAGCTGCGTGGAGTTCCGATCATATGCAGATGTCCGTTCATACTACACGACCGAAAGTGCGTGTTATGTGACCATTCATGCAAACTGTAGCATCATGCTACATAAGACAATAAATACGTCTTAACTCCCTTTAAACCACCATCGCGTGTTTGTAATAACTTCTGATTGCCGTCTGATGTGTGTTTTGGCCATGTAATGTTGCTAAAATGTAATGTTATTACCTCTGACTCTGAGTCAGATCAGCGATCATGGAAGAGAGAACACAGGCAGACTCATCAGTAAATCAATGGAAAATAAATAGAAATCATGATTCTGTCTGAGCTATGCATTTAAAAGGGGTCATATGATGCTGCTAAAAAGAACATTATTTTGTGTATTTGGGGTAATGAAATGCGTTTATGCAGTTTAAGGTTCAAAAACCACATTATTTTCCACATACTGTACATTATTATTTCTCCTCTATGCCCCGCCTTTCTGAAATGCGTCGATTTTTACAAAGCTCATCGGTCTGAAAAGCGAGGTGTGCTCTGATTGGCCAGCTATCCAGTGCGTTGTGATTGGCTGAATACCTCAAGCTTGTGACGGAAATGTTACGCCCCTCACCATATTGTGATGCCCTGTCCGGCCAGAGCGACGAAACATAAACATTAAAACCCATTATAAACTAGGCATTTGTTGCATCCAGTGGGGACATAATTACGGATTATAATGACTTGTACTTTGTACTTATATGCTTAAAAATGTCTTTTTAAGCGTTGCGTTGCATCGCACCATGGAAACATAAAACCATGTCTGCATTTGTGATCAGAGAAATGACAAGCAACAAGTGCTACACTACACTGCTCAAAACTCGCGTTTGAATCATCAGTGACAAATTCTTTAAATATAAAAAAACGTACTTACAGTCTGTGAGTCAGAACAGCCGGCATTGTAGTCTACTCTTCCAGGATCAGGAAACAGTCCTCCATAAAATGCGCTGGACACATCTGAATATTTGAGTTAAACTGTTCTGGAACAGTGTTGTAAATACAACTTAACCACTGATTTCTAGTCGTGTCCTCTTTTGGAAGGCCAA